CTTACATTTACTATATTAGGCATTCCTCCATAGTATAGCGGTTGTGTACAATATGGCCACATGTAAGGACACTCTGTTAGGTCAATATATGACGGGCTTAGGCTGAAACAAAATTAAGCACCTTGTAAAATACTATAATACATTGTTAACAAACTGATGATGGATACGATTACAATAAAGCTTTCCTACTATCAACTAGAGTGCAAATTTTATATGGCAAGACCAATTATAATATTGTCATACCACTATTAAGAGACATAATACAATATTTCAAGAGAGGTAGTTAAAGAACTTCTATTGCCCCTGTGTCATCAAAACTATGTAAAACCTCTGTTCTATATTACTATGATGATTCAATGGTGCTAATGTATACCTTGCTTGYGGTTTGTAGCTGTTAAGAATCTGATATGCTTTGATAAGATCTAATTTGCCATGTCCTGCAAAATGAAAATATAACTGAATGACATTTTGAATTTATTCACTGTAAACTCACATGTTGATTTTCCTTGTCAACTAGAAAAGAAAATGTGGAAGAATGCAAATGGAAATGTGTGAAGAAAGATGTGAGAAACCAAGATAACAATTTCTAGATAAAAGAGTTTATTTACAAGTACCTTGCTCAAAGATATTGAATCCAGGAAGTCTACGAGCAGAAGCCATTAAAGCTTGCTTGACGCTTGCAGGATTAATTGCACTGYCACGATGTTTTACAGAACTACAGAAACACAAGCAATTAGTTAATCAGRGTAGGAGAAAAAGTGGTATAGGAATGTACAAAACACAGACAAGGGCTTCTAATGAAGTCTTTAATTACTATTACCACCATCATTACTACATATCCACGTATTATTAATAGAAATTTGCTAAAAAATAATGAAGTTACCATACCTCAGCAACAAACTTACGGCACCAGCTACAACAGGTGAAGCTACACTGGTACCAGACAGTGAACGACATCCTCCCCTATGGGAAAAAGAACAATATAGTTACACTTTATTAGTCTCACAATACTCATTTGTTTGAAAACATGGAACAAGACAATCATSAAATGACAATGGTCATGGTTTGTGAARGAACAATGACATATGACAATGACATGTTTTTATACTAACTTTAAACTTGAGCCTCTAACACCAGACCCATATGTTACAATATCAGGTTTRACACGCCCATAGCCACCAGGCAATTCCTATAATAACRAAWTAGCATAAATCAAATRRGAATACAACAGATGGATGGAGGATGGTACAGAAGTTCTATCACTACTCACCCAAGTTGTCATTCCTCTGGAGGAGAATCTAGCGATATGGTCTTCAAAGGTKATTCCTCCAACTCCAATCACATCCATTTGATCAGCTGGGTTATTCAGAGTACTAATGGATTTTAATAATTGATTAATAGATTAATAACACTGGCATTGTTTCAATATAAACATGATGATACTAAKCAATAAAACATGTTTAATCTTTTATTGTATTTACCCATACAATGGACCATCATTGCCGATAGCTGATACCATGACAACACCATTAGCTGTAAGCTCCCAAACCTGGAAATTAATATACTAGTTTGTGAAAATGTAATTAATTGTTTCTAACTCCATCCCAAACAAAATAAAAAAAATAACAAGTAGACCAACAAACAACAATAATCCTACAAATTGATGAAAAAAGACGTAAATCAGAGGGACATCATCAACTGTCATTCACTGCAGTTATCGTTTAGATCTGTCATGCATGGAAAATAATGTGACATCCGATATCTATTTTTACCTTGTCCACAAATGGTTGATCCATGAAATCTGGTCCACCGATACTCAAATTAAGAACATTGAGTTTCTTTAGGATAGCATAGTTGAARGCATCTAAGAACCATGATGTATAGGACACCTTTCATTAAACAAAAATAACTCTATGAACTACTATAGCATGTAATATCATGTTGTTTTTATCTTCTTGCAATAACAGGAGTTTGAAGTTACTATTCTGCCACTACTGGTACTAATCTACCAGGTATTAACCATTTTATTTTGATTTTTTTATCCAAGAGTCAAAACTATAACTGATGATACAAATGTGCCTAACAATTCCCATCAGGGGAGGAACAAAATAAAAAATTACAAAAAAGGCCCCAATGGGGGAAGGGGTAATTACAGTACAGTTATCAATGATACTGTGAGTGGTTTACCTGGTTATTTGTAAAAACCCTAAATACATGTAATTCTGCATCAGGAGCAAASCCAAGACACTCCTTTGAACTTGCTATTACACCTGCCACAAATGTACCATGACCAAGACCTGAAGAAAAAATAAATAAAATCTTCAAGCAAGATATATAACGATTGTTGATGGACAAWGGTGAACCTTTTAAAATATAATGTCTAACTATATCAGTTTACTTACCATCCTCAAGAGTTTTCTCTTCTGTCCAATTTGTCCTGTCCTTGACTTTCTTAAAGTGAGGGTGGTTCTTGGGCAAACCAGTGTCAAATATAGCTACTCTAATATCACTCCCAGTGAAACCCTTTCCCCAGAGAACATCAGCTTGAAGAACCAGTGAGACCTGCAATGGACATAAGGTTTATTTTCAGGAAATATTTTAAAGGATTGCTTTATCATGCTGTACCTGTTTTGGTAAAGATCTTAGAAGACGTCTGCCTTCAGGATTATGCCGATGTTGTGTTTGCCAAAGTCCTTGACCCTGAAATTATAATACATGTAAACAAATTAATGACATGAACAGGAATAACAATGAATAACAATTAACTTGTGAATGAAATCTGTCATATTTGTCCAAATATAAGTSCCCTATGGACAAGTCACCAAATTTGATGATAATATAATAATGATGTTATGCATGATGATACAAAGATGATGATGAGGAGGAGGATGATGATGATGTACAGCACAGTGATAAGATAATAAAACAATAGAACACTTACAACTGCTAAACTTGATCTTGTTGTTCTCCTATGAAAAATGGCACACATGAATGATATTAGATTTCCTGTTTGCCTCACTTTTGTACATACATTAAATATATAAAATTCATTATTTTACACTCTACACTTTCTTGAATTGATATCAACAAAATGCCAATTTCACAGCAAATACATGTGATCCTTACCTTGCCATCCAGCTTGATTTCCAACATCCTTCTTCGCCATCTACACATTCAACTTGTTTTGAACTCTCATTTCTTTGTTCTATGGGCTCTGAAAGTGATGATAAATAAAATATCAGGCCAAATCAGATATTTTTTTAATGATAACATAGCAAGATATAACTTGAACAAATAATTGCTTTAAAGACTTGTCTCTCCAAACCAGGCAAACTTTGGATATAAATTCACAGTTCAATTGGTTTGGTTGAAGAGTCTTGAAAGCAGTTAGGTAAAGCAAGGAGTTTTATGTTAATACCAACCTTTTATGCTATGTAGAAATCGTTGTACTTTTTTCTGTTTTGTTACTCTTTTAATCATTGGATGGTTACTCAGTGCTTTAATACTACGACCAGTGTCACCTTTTAGCTGATAACAATGATTATATCAAATTAATGAAAAASTTCTTCTCTCTCACAAAGAGTACAGATATCATTGCAAACATGCATGTATCTTACCAAGACAAGAGAGAAATCACTAGGGTAATTGCTGGCTGGATTGTGACGTGGTATGATATTCCATGACAGGATTCCTGACGATAATAATGCTGCTTCTACATACTTTTCTCTAGTGCTACTGGGGTAATARCCATTAAAGACCACTATGAATTCTATAGGGAAAGAATATCCAGYTGTTAGATTCAAAACAACACTAAAGATGTTAATTATACTCAACAAACAATTAGACAAACAATGTGTGTTTGAGAACAGTGTAAATATCTTTATAAAAGAGTTATCCATCAGCAGGGCGGCACTTACAGCTCTGGATATATGTAGTTCACATCCAATGTAAACATATTAATCAACAAGATATGCAGATATATGATTCATACTCGCTTATGCTAGTGCCCTGCCTGTYTGAAGGAGGGTWACCWAGCAACTGGAGAAAAAGTTCTGCTTGGAAATAACTACTTAAATTTAGTATTTTGGGCATAAATAGCATGCAGGCAATAAAACATATATTACTGGTAATTATTGTGAATTATTTAATACAATAACAATGAACAATGAAACTACCGTATTAAAAGCTATAAAAGCCTACAGTAGTTCATGTACTTGGCTTTCAGTGATTGGTTTGGTATATATCCATGACAATATGAAATTCTACGTATTATTTGGACCATGTGAGTGTGCCTAATAAAAATACATTCAACTGAACCGAAAAAATCGAAACAAACTAGAATTTACAAATTTCTATACCAACACATGGTTTATCAGCTGAACACACGACTGCATTCAATATTATTAAAAGGTGAAACAACTTTAACTCCAGCTGTTGTTAGCTTATTAAAAGGATTATTCAAGTTTAACGAACATTGAACTTACCATTTTCAACTACTGAAGATTTGTATTCAAAGTAAGTCCGAGATATTGAGGAGTTTTTGGCGGTGCTGGAGCAACGTGAGGATTTGTCCGACAAAACAGCCAAGCATGACCACARCAAAACAACAAAAAAATAACACTTTTCTGTCGTTTTTACATACTGGGAACTAGCCATAAGAAGTTAAAAGAGAAGAATTATTATAAATGTTGTAATGACCAATCCATTACTGGGTCCTARAGGGAGATTTCCAGCCTCAAAACTGGAAGAAATCTCTGGCAAATTCACTCTAGCAAGTTTGCTCGAAGAATGGACTTCGATTTGTGTCACGTGGTATAAATAACCTGCTGTGATTGGTACACCTAGTTCACGTAGGTATGTGTATCACGGAAACGGAAGTAGCATCGTGTGGAATGCTCTCTTCTCTCCCTTAACAAAAGTATATTTTTTCATTTTTTACCRARGTTTATTTCAAGCATATTTCTTTATGCATAATATTATTGGATTCATTGMCTCAAAGATTCTGGGAAACACGGCCATTTTCTTATTGTYGTGCGGGATCCCTGTGGTATAGAATTCAGCTGTGTAGTGTCCATCTTGTTCAGTCGACAACAGTAGTGGACAAAAATTTTGAAGGTATTGCTGTTTAATTTAACTCCACTCATATTGTTTGTATTCAATATACATTGTCAGCACCAGAGTTATTTATTKCACTCACAGAATAATCGTAGTCTATCACAAGAAAAGGAGTAATTCCGCCTGCTTACTTGCTTTTGCGATCCAGGTCTTCGTATGATTAAGTTACTTTAATAAGTTAATTATATTTTTTACTGCAAAATATACTATCATTTGACCTCACTGGGCTTTTTGCTCCTCTTATCACCTTTTGTTCAAAGTATATTCACACTCATCTAAACTTATTTTGGGAGCTTTGTAAACATAAACATGGAAGATACGATGATTGGGTACACGCCCATCACGTGACCTCCAGCTAATTAATGACCTGTTGAAGYGAAACAGAAGGAAGACTTATTTAGTACAAAGAGGTGTCAAAATGTTGCACTTGGATGGAGGTGCCTGACATATTAAGATGTGTGGTATACTGGCATTGAAAATATAATATATGATGACATTTTGATATCATTTTAACATCATTACTTATTTGTCAAACTAGACAACCAAATGGCAGCTCAAGGCGACAAGCAACCAGAAAGGCCAAAGTCCCCACCACCAGGTTATCAAAAAGTTAAGGGTGAAGCTTGGGAGGGATGCCGTAAAGTAACAAATCGCAGACCTGTAAACAAGCATACTGGTGTGTATGCTTATCACTGTGATGACTGCATGTGTGGAATGGCTGGCTGGCCATGCTATAGAGATGGCCGTATATGGAGCTGTTGTGGACAGACTGAGAAGTATTGCATGTGTACAAAGAAAAAATGATGAAAGCCTTGGATTTTATCATGGAACAGTTTATCAATTTAAAAATTGATGGCTGAATAGTTCCTGAAAATAATATTAAGTAATCATAATAACACTTAAGTCTTCACCATGCTGTGGCCCAGCTGTGCCAGAGGGAAATTGGCAGGGTGAGGGCAGAGCTCCTCTGGGGTGAGGGGAGGGGTTCAATCAACAAGGACACATTATGTAAATAAAACAAAATGGATAACAATAATGTATCTGCTTGAGCTATAGTGTTCTATGTTTGAGTTTCTAGAACAACTTTGCCTCAGAAGACACTCCACGTTTAAAATAATAATTTAATTATACTAATTCTGTAACATRAAGTTATTAGAATATAATCAAAGAATTTTTTATTCACAGTTGATAATTACTTATCACACAAAATTAATGATCTTGCAGAGCATTCAGGCTAAATACAATAATATTATATATAAAGCTCAAAGGAAAACAAAAAAATTACTGAATGCATAAAGCTGTACTAGTCTATTATAATACTGTTTACTAAGTCACTTTTATATTGTAATTGTAATATTTTTCCCCCCTGTCTAACTAGCGCTATTTTTTAATAAAATTGATACTAGATTATGTACATGCTTGTTTACATAAACATATTTTTCTGTAATCTATAATATATACAGGAAATACTACAAGCAAGAGTTCATTGTGTGAAAGGGTCCCTGGTGTTTTCCAATGACAATCTTTCCCATGTATAATCCTCTCCAAATTTCTTYAGTCAAGTTGACTAACAGTCTCACTCAGTCTTAGCTTTAAGTCCTGCTTTCTCAGTGGTCTCAGTTTCTTCTAGTAATGATTGATGTGGGATATKTTTAGCATCATTATCATCATCATAGTTATCATCATCATAATCTTCATTGAACTCCTGGTCATCACCACCCTCTGCAGTACACAGCATGTAGATAATAAAGGAGAAGAGYATSATGGGAAGGCCAAACATGATGCTAGCAATAATTGGTTGAGTTGTCCAGATTTCCTAAAAAAATTATSCATAAAAATAAGCTTGCTGAGTAGAGTKCAAGTCACATAAGCATGAAACAATTCTTAACTATGTAGTGCTAAATAAGATTTAGTTATCAACTAACTAAGAATTGAGAACAATGCTACAAAGGAATTTAAATAATTGGCATTGTGTTTATTCTTTGTTGAATTCTTAGTTAGTTGATAACTAAATCTTATTTAGCAATACATATTAAAAATTGTTTCATGCTTATGTGACGTGCACTCTATAATCCTTTTCATGCCATACCAGTAATCATGCATTGTATATTTTCTTATAAATGTATTAATCTTAATTAAGTGAACATCACTTACATATACAGTAGTGAAGAAAGAATATAGCATCTGAAAAACAAAATAGTTGAAAACGTCTGAGAAATTGAAACTTWTATAACATGTAAGMCAACATAAATAGATRATTTTGAAAGAAATTTAGTTTYCTTTGATATCATTCCAATAAGTTTRASATATTTCAAGTCTTTCTCACCCTAATAACTCTTTGAAGGTATGAATCCCCACCATATGCCTAGAACGTTAGATAATATAATAATTGTTGCTATAAATGCAATRTTGTAMAGTATAAAGACAATAAAAGCCCAAAGATCACAAAGGTGATCAAAGCTTCATTTTGACCAACCTTTTCTTTACCAGATAATATATTTTCCAGGAAAGMCACCATCTTTTCCTCATTAAAGTCATGTTTAAGGTCTTCATAATACTTGAGATAATACAGAAAATCTGTACCATTATAWACCATGATGTATGGAGAACTTAGAGAGCTAAAAGGATGATAGTTTTACAACAATTAGAAGTTCAGGTAACAACTAATCATCTAGAGRCATCTCACCAGTAGGCACATAAGRCCTTCACCTTCCCCCTMAGGTAACAGCTACTAAAGGGGACTAAACGCATACAATAATTACCTCATCATAATGTTGGTGGTGATGTCATCTCCTAAAACCCAGCCAGATTGGAAAGAACTGCAAAACACATTACAGGAGAATGCTTATTGTATMACAATATAATCACTGACAGTGATAACAAGATGTACTGACTGCAAATACATATCATCTTACTTGTGAAATTTGTCTCTGTTTTTCAAAGCCATTTCTTTCACAATTTTACCAACCCTTGAAAGAAAACAAATTGATGTTATAAAACACTGATACTTTCTAATGTATGTATGTTCTTTAGTTTTACCTTTCATTTTTCTTTTTCTTTTTAGTATCCTCAGCAAACACAACAATTACTATTGCTTTACCTGTAACACAATTGATCTTAGTCAGTGCAAAAAAAAATTATTATAGATTAAGTTGTACAATGTACCTGTCTTAGAAATTTCATAAATGTTAGAGCTTGTGATTTGYACAAAGGCATTGAACTTCTCATGATCCACCCAGTCAGTGACATTATCCACTGTAACTTCTTTGTTCACTAAACAAAAAAAATGAAATAGTAATTTATCGCTAATATGATGACCATAATGGAAATATACCTTCAAGTGGAAAGTTTGAGCCATCTTTGAAAACAGATATAACAGGAGATTTCACTTTTACACCCTGAAATGTCAAAGGTTACATTTTGTTTAGTCTTTCCTCTTGACAGAAATCATTGTCAAGATTATGAGATGAATCTCATTTTTATTTGGGTTTTGGTCTCACTTTTGAAACCCAGTAGAGCTATAATTTATAGGATAATTTAAAATCTAGAAAAGAGAAAGCACTTTTTTCTCAATCACAATTCCTGGCCTTAAAAAAGTGATATTGAAACACATTCCTAATGTAACAGAATACAGCGACCTATGAATCCATACCTTAGGGAGTTGATTGTCACGTATACTGTAAAAATATGCTTGTGTGATTCTCTTCTCTGCTGCACCATAAAAGACGTCCTGCCAATAATTGAATTAAAAATTCAAATTACAATAACTTCCCATCTTAGATGTCCAAAGTGTTTGCATACTGCACCTTTAGATGACTAGAAAGTTCATTTTCTACTGAACTTTGCACTAACAGAAAGAACACTGTCCTGTCTCTTTGAACTGTTCTTAATTTATCTCCACTAGTTAATTCTTTTACAGCAGGTCTGAAAGAGGAATAATGGACTGGTTTTAGAATACATTGGATAGAATTATAGAATACAGTATAAAATCGATATAATTTTAGTTTGACTTATCCTTACCCTCCAGCTTTCTCTGCAAACTGTACAATATCTTCTAGAGTACGGTCCCCATTATATGTTATAACTATGTCACCTTTTATACTAAAAATAGTATTTCTCAATTTATAGTATAATAACTGGTACTGAAGTTATATTTAAGTATTTCACAATGAGGTATATGAAAATTGAATGAAATAAACAGTGATTATAAAAAGTTATACTAAGGATYCAGGATTTCTTCAAACTATTACTCACAATTTTATAGTAGGAAATCCTCTCACGTTATATTCTCTTGATACACCTAAAGATWCATAAAAATACAGTTATTGTTGGTTCTTGAAAGCTTTATTGTGCAGAGAGTCTCCATATCAATATGTCTTTTCATCAAACTTATACCTACCACTATATACAGTTGCATCTATTTTTGCAACATTAACAGAAGATCCATGGAGGTTTTTGCCAACATTTTCCCATATTGGCTCTAGCTTACGACAATAACCACACCACGGAGCATAAAACTATGATGAGAAATATTCACATATACATTAAATAAAAATGGTAAAAAATTTCTTTGATACTAAACCAATATTTTACTRTTTCAAATATAGAAAATCAATTTTTATGGTATAAATTTTATTTAATTTCTAAATAAGGTGTAGTTTTTTAGAGGGGTTAAATATGGTTCTAGATAAGGAAAATCTCATCATGCTATCTGAAGCTGGTTTGACATTTTCTTGGCTTAACTAAATTCAAGCAGTGATACAAGTAGCTTTTCTTTAAATTTTAAAAATTTCTGGCAAATCTTCATTTTTATCTTTTTATCTTTACTTACTTCCACAAGCCAGCTACCTTCTTTCTTAAGTTGTAAAAAACTGAAAACGGAATTAAAACAGCTGTTTTTTAAGTTTCTTTTAACATTTTTTATCTTTTGGCATTGATTTTTCTTGTTCTGTGAAATACAACAACATTTAATCGAAATACATATATATATGCACAAAGTCAAAAAAAGATCATAAGGAACCCATGCCACGAATACAATCCAATTTTGATTGAATTCGTTAAGATTTACATATATCAATTGACACATAAAAACAAGAATAAATGCCATAAAAAGGACATATTAGCTTAAATCGATCAATAGATAACAACCTTTCGTCGAGTTCATGGACGTACGATGCCTTGACCGCTGAAAAACTGACTAAATAAAACAAATAATAGTCATGTATGACTAAAAGATCTACAAAAATGATAGATAAGCTATTCTGGATTACCCAAAATGAACAAAAATCCTTTTGACAATAAAATATCCACTGCGTCCGCCATGATTGTTCGCAACACCTGGCTAGAGCCTAGGMCCGCGCGGATGACATTACAAAGGAAGCCCAAATCTATGCTCTTTAGAGCATACGTCCTCTCGCAGACGYTATATTCCCAGATCTTTGGGAACAAGACTTATAACGGCTGCGACAGGAGGCTATTGAAGTTTTCTTTTACAGTTAAAATACAATTCTGTAATTTTTGTGCGCGTTTTTTTGCTTATTTTTCACGCAGCGCATAAATTTCAATTTATTATGAAGATTGTAATGGCCTGTGACAGCCATTTGATTGATATYCCAAAGTTAATTAYCATCAKATTGGTCATCCAATAGTATCGCAGCTTGTTCCCATGAACTTTACTCGTGCGGTTCTCGTGCGGATTGTGAAGTGCCGGTATGTGCTGATATGACTTTTGCGGCCTTGATAAAAATCGTTAGATAATTACCTTCAGTTGAAAAATGACGCGTGATTTTGATGACAAAAATTTGCGGTTTAGTAGCTCTTGGGATATCAGATTTCAATAAAAAACTTTTATGTCACCGCCGACAGGGATACTAAATTGTAGGTTTTGATAATGAACGACGATAGCATGGAAATGTCAATCACTAAAAACAAAATTCTTGCTTTTAATTGGTTGAAAGCTAGATGCCCACAGAGTTAATCTTTATGCGGAGAAGGTTTCACTCCTCGGAAAACACTATTAACCAATAAGAAGAAACAACCTTTTTCCGGTGTCAGCACGTAAATCGACCTGAAATCATATGCGCGAAGAGGAAGAGCTGACTATGGAAATCACAACACTCTTCTGTGTTGTCCTTTTGCATTGGTTAACAACGATCACCAATTCAAACTCCTTGTATCCATTTTTATATTTTAGCGAAGAAGATATCCCTCGAATGAGACGACAAGCAGAGACAACRCACAGTCACATCGCCGGCAAACTTCACAGAGTTGCTCACATAATCATCAGCATGCACGAGGAGTTACCACCGTCAGACTGGAAAACCTTCTCTTCAAGATGGAACGAAAATTACGGCAATAATTTATGCGGTCTGGCAATGTATTGTGTGTTAAATGATCAGGACATTAGAATAAGAAAGTTAGTGTTTAAGGCAATGGATGTTTTCACTAGTCTGCCAAACTGGAGGGTCAGTGCATCAATGCGTGACGATGTACCAGTAGCGCATTCTCTAAATGGCATGGCAACGGCCTTTGACTTTCTGTATCCTCACATGGACGAACATCAACGAGACAAATACTTAACAAAGATAGCAAATGTTACATYAGAATTATATCGTAAGACTACATTGCGTAAACGTGCAGTTTGGTGGTCTCACTCTGTGATACAGAATCACGTCGCTACGAACTACGCGGCGATGTTAACAGGAGCACTTGTCTTGTCTAGACATCCTAGATACGCCAAAATTGCGCAGCGTTGGGCATGGAAAGCGCATCAAATGCTTTCCAAAACACTGCATGTGTTACAGTATGTGGTGGATGGGTCGATGGACGAAGGAGTATCTTATGGATCATACACGACTCGATCCCTCACCCAGTACATCTTCCTAGCGAAAAGACACTATAAAAGTGACTTGACCAAGAATATCTGGCTACAAGAGCACTTTTGGTTTATGTATTACACAACGATGCATAACTTTAACCAAACCATCGGCATCGCTGATTCTGGGCGTCGATGGTATTACGGACCTGAAAGCCAGCTCTACTTTCTTGATTCATTTGTATTGAAAAATGGCTACGCGAATTGGCTTGCGCATAAAGTCCAGTTGTCTAGTTTKAATGTTTCAGGAWACCAACGACACGAYAGAGTCATGTCAGTCATTCATACCGAGTTTATWTTTTATAATGCAAGCATTTTACCTAAACCTCCTCCAGATTACTACAAAGAGCAACTGCATACCTTCATTGACTGGGGAGTATCTGTCTATAGGAGTGGTATGGCTACAAGCGGAAATAATAACCAATCTGTTTATTTATCATTCAAGTGTGGTGTTCTTCATGGAGAAGCAGTCAACCAAATGGCTCTAAACAAACGAATGGCATTACCTTCCATCAAAGGTCGGAAGGGTTTCAACCCTGGGCACGAACAAGTCGATCAAGGGTCGTTCGTTTTCGCGCCTTTTGGCATTCCTTTTATTACAGACACGTACTATGGACCGAAATACACGTGGCTCAATGATGCTATTYTATTTGGTCCCTCTTYTAACTCGCCTTGTTCCGCGCCTCTAGAAGGACAAATTGGTGAATGCCAGAAGTGGTTTGATTTCAACAACATTGCTGCTTGGAAAGCACGTGGTAAGATTGTTACATCCACCACCGAGAAGGGACTGGTGCTGATGTGCGGTGAAATGGCAACGTGGTACCGAAAAGAACTGGGCCTTGCAAGCGTTTATCGATGTCTTGTGTTACTWTCGCCAGGCGTTCTTCTTGTACTCGACCATGTAGAAARGAAAAATGATAGCAARGTCGWTYATATGAATTCTTTTTTCCACAACGCTAATAATGACACATTTTTCACCAGGGAATGTTGGGAAACAAACCACTACGTGTGCGCTGGGATGTCAATTTACGGAAGAGAGTATCGAGCCGCATGGGTAAATTCACATKGCACAAAAAGTGCTGTTCAGCTTGGAGGAAGACATTTTAATGTWATACRTTCACTGAAAAAAGTTGACACCAGTTTTCTYAACATCAGCACTCCCCTTTATGGCAAGTACACTCGAGTTGCGTACATCTTTTCGGGACCTGGGAACGATGTTGTATCACTGCGCATTACCAGCGSACAGGACCATGGGGTATATATTTCTGCCGTCGTCAATAACCTTAGATACACCGTTGCCCTGGTAACTAAACATGCCCTTCCCCTTGTGCGGTTTCGTTGGTTGGGTTATGGTGGATTTGGGAAAGTCAACATCGAGGAAAAATGCCGTAGATGTGATATCAAATACATTCAACGTCAAGTCATTCACTTTGGTGAATTTAATAAAACGCAAAGAAAATCCACAAAGCGTAGACAGCGTTACCGGCCTAAAGACAACACAAAGTCTGTTTTCATTCTCTTCATTCCTGCTGCAGTTGCCTGTGCAATGCTCTTCTTGTACTTCCAATTGTTTCGAGTTGTAAAGTTTAGATTTTCTATCAAATGCTTAGTCTTCGYACTTCTTCTTGTCTATTGCGTTATTTCGTTAGCCACGTTCTTGAAAGGTTGTAAACGTGGCTGGTGTGTTGTTCGRAAACCGACAGCGCGCCATCAACGGGAACTCTATGGATTTGTAGGAGACACGAATTACCAACAACCTCCTTTTGTAGTTTACACATCCCTTCCCTTGGCTGGTTCAGAATTGTTCAGCGAACTTTTTAAAAGTAATAGTGATTTCTTCCCTTTGGACTTGTCTACTGAGTCTTTCTTCCRTCAATCTTCTTTTGCCAACGTTTCACGAAAAAGAAGATCAATCCATTCGAAAGGATTTTTAGATTTTTGTCGTACTTTTCAAAGTCGTTATTCTGATCAAGAATACAAGATAATTTCTCAGTGGTTTCGAAATTATCTTAATGATCCAATGATATTAGGTGCCACATTCCCTCAAAAATCAGTTAGTTCTCTTCCKTCTATCAGTTTAAAAGATCCTGGATGGGCGCTAAGATTTCATTGGCTGCGCAGAGTCTTGGGCATGCGCATGAAAGCTATGGTTATTGTTCGAGATCCACGAAGTTGGGTTAATACTTGGCTTAAAGAGTTTAAATCTAAACCTGCATTATTAAGAAATACTCAAGAATCGTTAAATAAGCTGATTAAAATGGGATGTACTGAAGAACAAGGTGAGAAATTCGCGCAAGAGATTCAGATCGTTTTAGATGTCTTAGACTCTGTCGATAAAGCAAGCCGCGATGTACTGGCCACTAGGCTTTTGGCACAATTATGGGCTGGGCACACCAATGCACTTTTGCGCAAGGTCAGAATTGTTCCAAAAGATCAGATTAAAATCTTTCGACTTGAAGACCTTGTGCTACGACCAAAGAAAACAGCACTGAGGGYTTACCAGTTTTTGTCCTTGTCCCTACCCCCCATAGTTGATGATAGAATCCAACTGGTTACTCGCACAGGACATTTCAAGTTTGCACATACTACTGAGAAAATTGGGACAGACATGGTTAACTCATGGAGGAAAGGATTAACGACGAATCAAATACGTGAAATAGAAAGTATTTGTTCAATTGTAATGTCCCAGCTTCACTACAAACCAATGTAGTAGAATTTTGATATCACATGCTACGTAAAAAGTCCTCCTTCAGAGGCAAAATGCAAAACATTACAATTTTCCTATATGTTTTCCAGTAACAGCCGGTAAGCTATCTGGATATATAGGCTACGCTTCTTTGTGTCGCGAATCGACACTATGGCATTAAGACTGGAGCATAATTATGATTAAAAAATTGTTGAGAACAATTAAATACAAAATTGGACACACTTTATGGCAAGTATTTCCAAATGGGAATAAGAAATTAAAAGACATCGCGGATTTGCGCATGCAGAGGAATAGTATATTATACAATTAGGAAAATATTTAAATTCCAAAGAAAATAAATGATAATGAATAACTTTGTCAAATATAATTACAGATATTAGATGTGTTTTCACACCCCGTTCAGTCGCCGTTTTTCAGGGTTTTTTCTGATGACAGTGTTTCACTTTTTACTCCTCCATCAATGGAAAATTGGAGGTATATTTACAATATTTATGTATAAGCGTCTAGAAATAAAGATCTTTCTTTATATATTTACCAGTGTTTTTTTTAATTCCATTTCCCTTTTTTTGTTCCCTTCCATCTATTTCCATAGATAATCGCGTTGCCTCATGATACAATACAACAGGTGAGCATAACAATCGTTGAACCCTTGACGTCACGATTACCCACAAATCCCAGCTGTGAGCCGTCTGGGTGAGCTCCAAAACAAAACAACGAGAATGGCGACTGGACGAGGGGTTTTAACGCTTTTAACCGTTATTTTCTCACTGAAGTAGACTGATAACCTTGAATTCGAATGTATTAGACTAAGGAGTGTTGTCTACTGAGACACCTGGAAGGTTTTGCTGTAAATGGGGGGCAAACAATCCACGGAGACTGCTGTAAATAATCGCAGCACAGCTCGGCACACCGGCGCAGTTGGCAACGGAGTTGGTGAACATAGTAGGGTTGTTTCGTTGGATCCTAGGATTCGAACTCGTTCATTAAACAGTGTGGACCATTCTTTCCCGATACCTTCACATCAAAGCTCGTTTCAAGAGTCAGGACTGACAGCAAATGACGATAATTCCCCACAATTACGAGGACTCTATACAATTCAAGGAGCACATTCTCTTCCAGCGCAACTTTTCGCAACGTCTTTTATTACTGGTAAGATTATCCTCTAAAATTATTCTTTGTCACTGTTTTATATAATCATTTTTCATCTATTGTTTATATGATGGACAATTGCTTGATTCGTATGTATTTTTGCGGTGTTAGGGTAGATTATATTTTGTGATCTTATGCTCCAGGAGTGAAATGCCCAGTTTGTTCTAAAGTGGTGATTTCAGAAGACATCGAACTTCATTTAGTAGTTTGCCTTACAAAACCAAGGCTATCATACAATGGTGGGTATTTGATAATTAAGGTATTGCATTTTCTGCTAAGTTCAAGACTACACAGACCAACACACAACATGGATTTTTGCATCGAATTCTTTCCAATCATAAGATTGATCACTGACGATCATAAGTTTCTCAGTTTTTCCTTCGGGCTGAAATGCTAGACAAATAAATCACTTTCACCGCTGGTTTGTCCATAACTGAAARCGAAACAAAAGCTCCAGTTTGCAATACAATGAAACGAGGTTGTACTCGTGGTGGAGTAAATTTGTGAATTACATGCACACAAACCACAAACTAAATGCTTACTTGCAAACTAGATTAAATTCTCTTCACATTTTTTGAATGTTGCACCTCATATAGCGCTAAAAATTTCAAGAGAATAGATTGTTATTTATACAGACCTTGGGCTAAGGGCATAGAGCAAGCAACATTAAATAATAATGAGTTTTTCAAAGTGGCGGCAAAATTACGTCTATCTGTATTATTATTCGAAGCAGGTTTTAGTTTTATTCTACGGTTTTTTGCAACTTATTTTCATTACCTCATTTCTTGCTTCTTCTTTTTTTACATCTACGGCAGAATTGAAAAGAAAACTTAATATTCCTTCCCCCTGGAATTGTTTGGTTGATCGCTCGATGTTCTAATTATAGCCCTGAATCATGCCACACGGATCTTCTGATCTTTATTCGTTTCGGATATTCATACAAGGTTGATTGGTAATTTTTGAAATCACTCATCGTGGCAGATTGGCAGATTTTGTAAATTTCATAGTTCTCAAAGAATATAGTCTTGTATTTTTTGAAGTGTTTTGAATAATATGAATATTAAAATATCTCTTATCTTATTTGTTACAAATTTAATTATTCAGTCTTTAAAGAGAGATAATCCCCTTTCTCGTCTCAAGACAAGAATACATTTTGAGTAAATATCTTAAGGATTTGATTCAAAACTTRTTTCAGAGCTAAACAAAGGTTTTATTTACTTCATTTGTCTCAGGTCACCTAGGCAACCTGCACAAAAAAAAMCCTTTTATTGACCTAACGTCCTTAGTRCAAAGTTTGAAATAATGCTGATTAMGATAGAAAAATGAGAACAAAGTTYCTGTTACAGTAAAAAGGAAAACAAAATAACAGTAATATTTGGAATCTCTAAAAATATCCAAGTCACTCATTGTTGTGCTAATTTTTGTTGTTTGTGTGCTTCACAACTAACAATAGCAAAATTGATAGGAGTTATTGAATAATTGTGAAAAGAAAGATCTGATTGACATGTTATAATGATCGATAATTACAAATCTTGTGCAAATAATCATCTTTTGCTAAAGAATATAACTTCCCATTGTTAAAAATCATTGTCAGTGAAACCTGGACTTTCTTTTGTCCTTATTAGATGACACACAAAGTCATATTCTTGTTACAGAGGATAGAAAATAAACTATTCTTCTATCTACAGAATGGGTTATAATGGTACATAATTATTCCACCTTATAAAACCACATTTCCTCCATCAAGTCACCTGGGGGTTGTTATTTTTAAGTGCAAAAAACCTTGGACTTAAGAAGAGAACTGAAAGGGGGCTTAGTGCTTAGTAGGCTTTCAACCAAATTTGATGTACATAAATAGTATTTGATCTTAGGTGGTGATGGTATAGCTTGAGGATTATAAAATTCTTTTATGGTAAAGCACATAAATAATAACAAACATGCTAATGAGTTTGTTTTTGGTTACATGTGTTAAATACAAAACAAAAACACGAGAAAAACAGAAAAGGTGAAGCAAACATGTCAGCTCCCTATTTACTTCTGCTATATTTCCTCACATATCTCCCTTCTGGTTGGTTCTGTACAACAATATTGTCAGATAAAACATGACCTATAACACAAACATTGTGCTAAATTACAAATGTATCATCCTTGTATAGGAGAGATGGGGGGGGGGAGGAGTTGGGCTATTTGTTTACTCTATTTATGATATCATCTATTTCAGAGGATGTTCTTCAAATTAATTCAGAGGAATGTGCTATATGTTTGGATGACATGCGTAAAGGTGGGTCATAGCCAAGATCACTTGAAGAAAGCTAACCTGCCAAATAGAACTAGAAAGAATAGGTCAATTTTTACAGAAAGTCTTATCTATATTGTTTCCCTCAACTAGAAAAACATTGAATTCTGACATTGAATGTTGACAGCACAATGTTCATAAGGCTATCTAGTGGTGATTTGTGATATGAATTTGACATATTGTATTGACCTTGATTATGATAATCATTATCTGCTGTATACAAATTAAATATGTACATAATTAGAATCGGATATTTTTTGTCAATGTTTCTCATTTTCTTATAAAGTATATAATCAATATTCTCTTTAAAATATTGTTTTTAGGTGAAACAATTGCTAGACTCCCCTGTCTTTGTATATATCATAAATGGTAAGTACAACAGTTAATATCTCCTACATAATTGAATCCATTGTCTGTGTGTTTACATTGTAGTGGTACTACCACTGTAGAAGAGATTGATTGATGCCTTTTTTGCACCGGATAATGTTATTCAGAGGTATCTATGGGTGCTTTCCATTTAGGCAGAACTGRCCGGCCAGTCCACTCTATTTAGARGTATATAATGCTTTTTGTCAACATTTTTCAGTCATTTCGAGGTTTTCTGTAGAATAATGGATAGAATTTGAAAATTTGAATTTCCTAACTAAATGGGAGTGATATATAATGACATTTTCTCTGGGTCTGGCCAGCCAGTTCTGACAAATGGAAAGTGCACTAACATTCACAACAATCTGTCATACATGTATTACTAATGTGAATGCACAGGTGCTGTTAAGAACTAGGACAGTGGTTAATAGATTCTTTTTATTTCAATTAGAAGTAGGAATAGTGTCATGATAATATTCATTAATAAGTTGTTGTCTTGATTTAGTTGTATAGATTTGTGGTTTCAAAAGAGTAGAACATGTCCTGAACACCCATCTTAGTGACAGTGAGGTAAAGAAATATGTTTGCAACGCTTCCAGTTATAACATTATTCTCATACCAACTGATGAATTAACATTTAGACATGCCTTGACTGCTATAAAAATATTGGAAAAAGGCTGCTTCCGTTTACTTTGTCTTTTTCTATAAATTCAGTGATACAAGGAGAATTCTAGAGTCAAGAGAAACACTCTCTATGTTTGTTTCTTCTAAGACACTGTTTACATGAGATAGGTTGCCCTTAGTGGTAGGGCCAAAATCCTTTGTTTTCAATCCTTCATGGAAAAGAAAACAAAAGAGTTAACCCTACCACGTCCTACCACGTAGGGGCACCCTATCTTATGTAAACAGGGTCTAAGCCTGCTTCTACTTTTAATTCCATATCCTATTGTGTTCTTCTAAGAAGGCAGACACACAACTGCTAACATTTATGCAGGAAATTATGTCATTCTGCACTTTTCCAGTGCTTTCCGGACACTACTAAACTGTATTTTACGAGGACGCACATGGCTGTTTTAAACTAAATGCTATGTATTTATTTAAAAAAATAACTGTATGTTCTTGTTGTTTTACAGACTGATGGACTGTATTTATTTTGTAGGTAAAATAGCTTCTTCTATAATGAGATTGCAAAGCTGCACTAGTGCACTGGTTTAACAATTGAAAGTCCAACTTGTGAAGATCAGTAAAAGTACTTTAATTGAACATGTGACAGTCTGTATTGGTCACCAAATCTCTGTTCACCAAGGTACCAGACAACAAGGATCTAAATAGTACTAACTGTAGTTTCAAATGAGATGCTGGCATATAAAATAATAATTTGCTTGCTTTTACCCATAAATCATTCATCTCTTATCAAATCTCTTGATGTGCTTCATGGTTAGTCTGTTAATTTTGTACCCGATATGCTAAAGTTTTTAGAGTGTCCTAATTTTGATAATTTACACACTATTGTTAGCATTTCCATTTTCTCAGTAAACCACTAGTGRATTTTGTCTTACTGTCTTTTGTACTGTGACTATACTTTGCTGTGGCAATGGATGATGSGTTCTTGAATCAATATTWTCATTAGGTGTCACTACCAGGSRRGKT